TGTAGGAGTTCATTTCTTCCTGGAATTTCTCCACTGTTTCCTGAATTGCTTTCTGGAAAGTGCTGATGGCCATCCGCTGGAAAACAGGAGCCAACTGACCGCGGAAATCAGCTCCCACCCGGCTGAAGGACAGCCCAAAGTACATGCACTGGCCCAGCAGAGAGTCCAGGCGGCCGCCTATGCCCCGGTAAAGGTCGGTCTCCAGCACCTGCAGGAACTGTGAGACTTTCTGTAGCACCCAGCCATGGAAGATGGCACTCTCATTCACGGTGTGCTCACCCACGGCAGGGGGCAGCAGTGGGTCCTCATCTGAGAAGATGGCACGGTACTGGGTGATGATATCAAAGAGATGGACACGGCAGGCCTCGATGGTTTTTGTGATATGGAAATAGGGATCATCATTAGGAATGGCAGTCAGGATGGACCGGAGCCAAGCATCTCGGGCCTGAAGAAACTTCACCCTCAACTCAGCCTCAGTGAAGACATCCATGCGCCGCAGGTAGCCAATGACACGGAGGCAGGCGGGGAGCTGGATGTTGGTCCTCAGTTGCTGGATCAGCTGGCTCAGCATCAGCTGCATGGACTGGCGCACTTCGTTCACGATGCCCTGACAATACATAGAGTCACACTGTGCTGGGAAGGATGTTCTCTAGAACCCACTCCCCTAACCCTGAAGACTGCAGACCAACATTCCCATGGCTTTCCTGAAATATGAAGTAATTTCCTAAAGCTGATGCCTGTAGGTTCACCAACAAAGATCAGGTTAACTCTCTTGCTTAAAAAGCTTAAAACCTGGCCAGGTGCAGTGGCTCACACCTGTAATTCCAGCACCGTGGGCAGGCGGATCACTTGAGGTCAGGAGTTTGAGACCAGTCTGGCCAACATGGTGAAACCCCGTCTCTACTAAAAATACAAAAAGTAAGGCCGGGCGCGGTGACTCAAGCCTGTAATCCCAGCACTTTGGGAGGCCGAGGCGGGCGGATCACGAGGTCAGGAGATTGAGACCATCCTGGCTAACATGGTGAAACCCCGTCTCTACTAAAAAAATACAAAAAAACTAGCTGGGCGAGGTGGCGGGCGCCTGTAGTCCCAGCTACTCAGGAGGCTGAGGCAGGAGAATGGCGTAAACCAGGGAGGGGGAGCTTGCAGTGAGCCGAGATCCAGCCACTGCACTCCAGCCTGGGCGACACAGTGAGACTCCGTCTCAAAAAAAATAAAATAAAATAAAATAAAAATACAAAAAGTAGGTGGGTGTGGTGGCGCAGGCCTGTAATCCCAGTTACTCGGGAGGCAGAGGCAAGAGAATCACCTGAACCTGGGAGATAAATGTTGGTTGCAGCGAGCCGAGGTCACGCCACTGCACTCCAGCCTGGGCGACAGAGCAACTCTGTCTCAAAAAAAAAAAAAAAAAGCTTAAAACCCTCCAGTGACTTCCCACTGCAATCGAGAAAATTCCAACCACTCATTGGGACTTATACTGGTGGCCTTACCTGGTTCTCCATCTTCACCTGCTTCCTTATGCTCTCCCACTGCTACAATCCATTAACTCTGGCTGCCTCTGTATCCCTTAAATACCTCAATTTCTGCCCACTTCAGCCCTCTCCACTTGTTCTTCGCACTTTCTGGTTTGCTCTCTCCTCAGATCTTTGTGGGCTGGCTCCTTCTTCTCACTTAGGTCTCAGCTTAAGTGTTACCTCCCCAGGAGAGTCTGTCTTGATCACCCTACCTAAAGAAACCTACCCTAGACTCCCTCTACCCCATTCCCCATTTTGTTTTTTTAATCAGACACCACTATCTGAAATGATATCATTTATTTCTGTGTCAATTATCAGACTTCCCATTAGCACATAAGCTGCATGAGAGCCAGGACCACTTTATTCACAATGTATCCCCAGCATATAGAGCAGTGCTTGGCACGTGATTAATATGTATTTTGAATAAATGAATGTTTTCAGAAACTGATATGAAACATGCAAGGGTTTCTACCTAAAGCTTCAGTCCTGACCACAGAATAAATGATTACAAGAACATTACTTTGAGTCCTCTCTGGGTAAGTTGGCTACCTGGATGACAGGGATGGAAGAGTATTTCCTCTCCAGTCGGCGTACATAGGCTGCAAGCTCCAGGGCCTCTTCATAATAACTGTTCCGGACACAGGTGTCCATGAGCTGAGGAATCTCCAGTATTTCTAAAATTTCTGTGTGCCGGTTTAGGGTCAGACTATTCATCCGACGGTTGGAGCTGATCTCCTCGGCTTCCTTCACAAAGTTCCTAGTAATAATCAGGAGAATGTTGGTCCTTCACTGCTCTGTACCAAAACCTTAGCTACAGTTACCAAGCACCTGCTATGAACATTGGGCTGGATGATCTATCTGATTTATTCCTCACACCCCACCTATAAGGTAAGCATTATTACAATTGAGGAAATTTTTAATCCCAGAGAGGTTAAGCAACTTGTCCAAAAACATACAATTAATAAATCTAATAGACAGAAATCCAGATATGCCACTGGCTGGCTGTGGCAAGGTACTTGGCCTCTCTGAACCTATTTCCTCATTGGTAAAACAGTATATAGGGCCGGGCGCGGTGGCTCATGCCTGTAATCCCAGCACTTTGGGAGGCCGAGACAGGCGGATCACTTGAGGCCAGGGGTTCAAGTAAAACCCCATCTCTACTAAAAATACAAAAAATCAGCCAGGCGTGGTGGCGCGTGCCTGTTGTCCCAGCTACTCGGGAAGCTGAGTAGGAGAATCACTTGAACCCAGGAGGTGGAGGTTGCAGTGAACAGAGATGGCGCCCCTGTACTCCAGCCTGGCCAACAGAGCAAGACTCCATCTCGGGGGAAAAAAAAAAAAGTACATAGGACCCTCCTCACAAGGATGTAAGAAATGAGATGATGTGTGGGAAGCATTTAACACAGAACTTGAAACAGAGCAAATGCATCAGAGTAAAAATAGTAAAAGACACAGAGTTAAATATTTAACAATAGCTATCATTATTTTCATAATGAAGCACTAACTAGCCTAGAATCTACCACCTTTCCCCATATTCCCTCAGGTCTTCATCTTCTCCTGTGCTAATGTTCAACCATAGCTCCTGCCACAGTCTACTTTCAACACTTCTCTATATTTGCAGAGACCTGCTTTATCAAGTCCCTTGTCTACTCTGGAGCATGGAAGGGTACAAAAGCTGCTGTCAGATATCCAAAGGCTTAAAAGAAAAATTAAACTTTAATCATGAAAGGCTGGAAGGCAGAACTAAGGATAATGGACTGAGGATCTATGGAGACAGAATATGACTCACAAAGGACTTTTTTTTTTTTTTGAGACGGAGTCTTGCTCTGTCACCAGGCTGCAGTGCTCTGGCATGCACCATCTTGGCTCACTGCAACCTCCGCCTCCCAGGTTCAAGTAATTCTCCTGCCTCAGCCTCCCAAGTAGCTGGGATTACAAGTGCTCGCCACCACACCCAGCTAATTGTTTTACTTTTAGTAGAGATGGGGTTTCAGCATGTTGGCCAGGATGGCCTCGATCTCTTGACCTCGTGATCCGCCTGCCTTGGCCTCTCAAAGTGCTGGGATTACAGGCATGAGCCAAAGCACCCGGACTTTTTTTCTTTTTTTAAGACAGAGTTTCACTCTGTCACCCAGTCTGGAATGCAGTGGCACAATCACAGCCCACTGCATCCTCGACCTCCCAAACTGGAGTGCGGTGGCACAATCGGGCCCAACTGACCCTCCCACCTCAACCTCCTGTATAGCTGGGACTACAGGCGCACGCCACCACGCCCAGCTAATTTTTTATTGTGTAAAGACAGGGTTTTGCTATGTTGGTCAGGCTGCTCTCGAACTCCTGGGCTCAAGTCTCAGGCTCCCAAAGTGCTGGGATTACAGGCTGAGCCACCGCATCCAGACGTCCAAAAGGAGAGGCGTTTTGATATCTGATGCCCTCAAATGGGAGGATTTCCTTGTCGACTTCCCGTCAATGGAAGTTTTGAAGCAGATGACCTCTGGTCCAAGCTTTCGTATAAAATAAGTATACAAATGTACACATATATTCAGCTCACACCTATAATGTTAACTATGTCAGACCCGATAATAAGAGCTTTGCATGAATCCTTTTTCTTTAGTGCCCACAACAGCCCTTCGAGGGAGGGATATGCTCCTGGGTCATCAGTTCTGAATTCGCAACCTCCTAGCTGTGTCCTTAGACATCACTAATCTCTGTCTTGACTTGCTCATATGTAAAATGAAAATAACAGGGCTGGGTGCGGCGGCTCACGCCTGTAATCCCAGCGCTTTGGGAGGCCGAGGCGGGCAGATCACGAGGTCAAAAGATGGAGACCATCCTGGCCAACATGCTGAAACCCCGTCTCTACTAAAAATACAAAAAAATTTAGCTGGGCGTGGTGGCGCACCCCTGTGGTCCCTGCTACTCAGGAGGCTGAGGCAGGAGAATCGCTTGAATCCGGGAGGCGGAAGTAGGTTGCAGCGAGCCGAGATCTCGCCACTGCACTCCAACCTGGCGACAGGGCGAGACTCCGTCTCAAAAAAGAAAAAAAAAGGGGGGGGATAACAGTACCTACCTCGAAGGCTGTTGTGAGGTTTAAATGGATTAATAAGGCGCTCAGCAGAGAGCCTGGAACGTGGTAAACGCTTTATAAGTGTTAGTTATTTCTACCATCGTAAACGTCAGCTTTTACAGTTAAAAACCCCTTTAGCGCCAGGCGCGTCGCACCTGCAGCTCTGCTGGAAGCTGGGCAAGCGGTCGAGCAGGCGGCCGAGCGATGCCTCCACGTCGCCAAAGAGGCGGTGGATGCGCTCGGTGCACTCGGCGCCGCGGATGAAGGTCTTGTAGTTGGCGAAGGCCAAGTCGCGTGTCTGCTGCAGCAGCTGCGCCCGCTCCTCCGCCAGGCGCTCCGGCTCGCGCCGCAGCCGCTCCAGCCCCGAGCCGCTCAACTCCCGGAGGTAGCGGCCCACATCGGGCCGCTCGCGCCACTGGGCCTCGGGGAAGCGGTCCCGGAACAGCGACGCCAGGAGCCCTTCATCCTCCACCTCGCCGAGAGCCGCTGCCGTGGCCCTGGCCGTGGCCGAGGCCGTGGCTGACGATGGGGCAGTCGCCGCGGTAGCCATCTTCCCCGCAACAACGTCACTTCCCCTCCGGACCACCGGGGGCGCTGACTCCGAATTTAGGACAGGAAGAAACAGGACCATTTCCGGTCTCTATCTTTTCTCATCCAGTCGGCTTGCTTTCCCCGGCGGTCGTCCAGACTATTGGGCGCTGGCGAGAGGAACTATTGGTACGGGGCTAGAGAGGAAGGCTTCGGGGTTGCCGGGGAGCAGCAAGCGGCCGACTTCCGTTTCCGCTTACGGAGGCACGAGGATCCGGTGTTCCAACCCACGGAGAAAATGCGGCCTTTGACTGAAGAAGAGACCCGTGTCATGTTTGAGAAGATCGCGAAATAGTAGGAGCGCGCGGGGCGGAGGCGGGAGTGTGTGGGTGTGGTGGCTAGGGGTGGAGTGGGGGCGCGGTGCCTAGACCGGTCCGTTCGGGCGCGGTCTCCAGTCCTCTTTTTGCCCTCAGTATCGGGGAGAATCTTCAGCTGCTGGTGGACCGGCCCGATGGCACCTACTGTTTCCGTCTGCACAACGACCGGGTGTACTATGTGAGGTGAGGCGGGGCCGGGCAGGCAGCATGGACCCAGGGGAGGGGAGACCTGGGTCCCACCAGCCTCCTTCATCCGCAGCGGTGCTCCCCTATTACCCTTTTAGTGAGAAGATTATGAAGCTGGCCGCTAATATCTCCGGGGACAAGCTGGTGTCGCTGGGGACCTGCTTTGGAAAATTCACTAAAACCCACAAGTTTCGGTTGCACGTCACAGCCCTGGATTACCTTGCACCTTATGCCAAGGTTTGTGGGGTGGTTTCCAATTCTGCCATGGGCGATGAAGTCAAGGATTAGGCAGATTGTCCGGCAGCTTTTCTCCCACAGAGTTCCTGATAGTGTGCTTGGAGGAGTGTCAGCACATGGAGATGTGCAGAAGTCTTGCATCTTGGGCATGGTCAGGGCTATGGGATAGGAGTGCTGTGGGGCTGTGTAGTGTTAGTTTTCTCCAGCAAAGTAGAAAAGCCTAGGCAGACCCAGCTAGAGATCAGAAAGCAAGTTAGTGGCAGCAGTGAAGACACCGGGGTCCAGAAAAAGAGCTGTTAACCTGGCCATGGAAGATGATCCCTGTAGAGTTGAGAAAATAACTTTTTGCATTTCTTTTTTTAAATTCCTTTTTCTTTCTTGCTCTTTTTTTTTCTTTTCATTTCTCTCTCTCTTTTTCTTCCTGACAGTTTCACTCTGTCGCCCAGGCTAGAGTGCAGTGGTGCGATCTCACTGCAGCCTCCGCCTTCCAGGTTCCAGCGATTTTTGTGCCTCAGCCTTCTGAGTAGCTGGGGTTACAGGTGTGTGCCACCACACCTGGCTGATTTTTGTGTGTGTTTTTAGTAGACACAGTGTTTCGCCGTGTTGGCCAGGCCGGTCTCGAACTCCTGGCCTCAAGTGATCCACCTGCCTCGGCTTCCCAAAGTGCTGGGATTACAAACGTGAGCCACTGCGCTGGGCAACTTCCTGCATTTCTGTTCAGGAGATGGACAGTTTGAGGAAAACATGAGTCTCTTTCTGTTTCCCCTAAAATTATTTCAGAAAATTATTCACAGATCCAGCAGCTGGTTTGTCTGCATGGATATAAATAGTAACGTTTTTGTGTCTCTTGGATTTTAATTCTCTTACAGTATAAAGTGTGGATAAAGCCTGGTGCAGAGCAGTCGTTCCTGTATGGGAACCATGTGTTGAAATCTGGTCTGGGTCGAATCACTGAAAATACTTCTCAGTACCAGGGCGTGGTGGTGTACTCCATGGCAGACATCCCTTTGGTGAGTAGAGATGGCAGCTCTTACAGAACTCAAGTACTCTTTTATTCAAGAAGGATATGTTTTCAATCTGGGTGATTGAGAGAATAAATTCGCAGCACCTTTTGAATCCCAGAAAGACCAGAACTGTATTTTTTCTGTCTTTGTTATTTCCAGCCCTCAATATGGGTATATTGAATGACTTCAGTGAGTTAATGTCTCTTCTTTTGAATCCCAGGGTTTTGGGGTGGCAGCAAAATCTACACAAGACTGCAGAAAAGTAGACCCCATGGCGATTGTGGTATTTCATCAGGCAGACGTTGGGGAATATGTGCGGCATGAAGAGACGTTGACTTAAAACGAAGTCACTGCAAGGACAGGCGGCTGTGTGGAAGGGCCGAGCTTTGTTTCCTGTGTTTGTGTGGACTCCACCATCATCTTGAATTTTGTCAACACTCTGACCTCTTCAGGGACTTCTTATTTACTGTACTCTCTATCATTGACAAATGCAGGCTGGATTCTTATTATATACAGAGAGAGCTCAAAAATGGGGTTTCAGATCTTTGTGTTTGTGATGAAATAGAATACTCTGTTTCATATTTGAATCAGAGGGCTTCTTGTTCTGAGAAATAGGTTCAAAATCATTGGAACTAGGAACAAGAATAGCTTATTGTTATCTGTGATAACACTTTGTTTTCTAAACTCATGATAAGAACACAGGGATTGGCCGGGCGCGGTCGCTCACGCCTGTAATCCCAGCACTTTGGGAGGCCGAGGCGGGTGGATCACGAGGTCAGGAGATCGAGACCATCCTGGCTAACACGGTGAAACCCCGTCTATACTAAAAAAAAAAAATACAAAAATTAGCCAGGCGCGGTGGCGGGCGCCTGTAGTCCCAGCTATACTGGAGGCTGAGGCAGGAGAATGGCTTGAACCCGGGAGGCGGAGCTTGCAGTGAGCCGAGATCGCGCCACTGCACTCCAGCCTGGGCGACAGGGTGAGACTCCGTCTCAAAAAAAAAAAAAAAAAAAAAGAACAGGGATTGTCTTTTTTATTAATATGCAAGATAGATATTTCCATAACAGAATAATAAACCACATGTGGGGTTTTAAAAATGAAATTTGTCTAAAATAATAAGAGCAATTCAGCTATTTTTCTATACGGTAATTGGTGTGTGGTATGGAAGAAAAATGTATTCAAACCCCACTACTGCCACCTACCAGCTGTATGGCCTTGAATGAGTCATTCAGCTTTAATAAGGTTCGTTTTCTTCTGTTTAAAAAGATACAAAACTTAAAAAATAGCTTTGGCCATCTACCTGAGAATTAGAAATTCTGATTTTTGGAATTAGAAATCATGATTGTAGGCTGGGCACAGTGGCTCACGCCTGTAATCCCAGCACTTTGGGAGGCCAAGGTGGATGGATCACTTGAGGTCAGGAGTTTGAGACCAGCCTGGCCAACATGGTGAAACCCCATCTCTACTAAATATAAAAAAATTAGCCAGGTGTGGTGGCACATGGCTGTGGTCCTAGCTACTTGGGAGGCTGAGGCAGGAGAATGGCTTGAACCGGGGAAGCAGAGGTTGTAGTGAGCTGAGATGGTGCCATCGCATTCCAGCCTGGGTGACGGAGTGAGACTCCGTCTGATTGTAAAGCATCTAGTACGGTGTACAGTGCCTGGGAAATGATAGGTGTGGAATAAATGGTAAGAATTATTTTTATATTATATATATTATGTATTCCTGTTATTAAGTGTAGAGTTTTATGAGTATAATTTGATTATATTACCTTCTTTTTTACAAGCTGTTTTCTCAGTATTTTTCTTGGATGGGATGATCCTAAGCTGGAATTTTTTTTCATCACTATGATTTTATAAAACATAATTTTTTCTATGAACCTTTACTTACTTGACTGGATTGAACTAAAAGCACTGATCAAAGACCGCGACATAAAAATTCAGTCCCTTTGTCCTCCCCGTGCCTCCCAAAGTTATTTTAAGATCATTAGAATATTTCTTTAGTAACATTTTATAGACAAAAAATGTTGGCCGGGCGCGGTGGCTCAAGCCTGTAATCCCAGCACTTTAGGAGGCCGAGACGGGCGGATCACGAGGTCAGGAGATCTAGACCATCCTGGCTAACACGGTGAAACCCCGTCTCTACTAAAAAATACAAAAAACTAGCCGGGCGAGGTGGCGGGCGCCTGTAGTCCCAGCTACTTAGGAGGCTGAGGCAGGAGAATGGCGTAAACCCGGGAGGCGGAGCTTGCAGTGAGCTGAGATCCGGCCACTGCACTCCAGCTCAGGTGACAGAGCGAGACTCCGTCTCAAAAAAAAAAAAAAAAAAAATGTAAAGACTTCCTGTATTGCAAAACCAAACTATTTCTTTAATGAATATACTGCTTATTTTAAGTTCCAAAGGTAAAGTCTTTAAGAATAAAACATTACCGACTCCTGCTTTTATATGTAAGCAAACTTGATTGTGGCCTTTTTCAACTCGTCTTCCTTCTAAGATTTTCTGTTAGCCTCTAAGTAGACTCAGTGAAGGCTAAGGGACTGCTATATGATGAACAGTATTTTGATGCATACATTTAATACTTCTTCAGAACTTTTTCATTATTATTTTATTGCCATTTTGCTTTTTTAGATGTGTACAGCAGACTAAAACATTAATGAGATAGATTGATTTTTTTCCCATAACATTACAAAGCTGATTTCGACTAAGCCCCAGAAGAAAAGAGCCAGGGTGCTATAGTCACCTTAGCTTAGCATCTTGGCTTCTTTGTGTCTGTAGTTGTTGGAACATTGAAGAGACGCTTCAAGAAATACAGTTGCAGGATTCCAGAAAGAATAATAACGAGGCTCTGGGCTGTCGACCACCAGTTCACGTAGTTATAGTTTGAATGGGTAAGGAAAAAGTCAGCCATTTTCCTCATCCGGGCAAAGTTGTAGTATCGCCACATGTGAAAGATATTGTTCTGCACCTTTTGTGTGCTGTCCTATGAGAGAAAATTTTAAAAGGGATTCTTCCAAACCCCCATCTAGCCTCACCTGGGTGCTCACCAGCACTAACCTACCTGGAAGTCAAATAATTTACCCATACAATTTTAAGATGTACAATACTATTACAGTTGTTGATAAATGTTGTGTGTGCTATGTATGAAATATGATCTGGACTTGAGTTTGCAATTTTTGTTTTTGTTTCTTGAGACAGGGTCTCACTTGTTTGCCCAGGCGGGAGTACAGTGGCGCAGTCACAGCTCACTGCAGCCTCAACCTTCTGCGCTGAAGCGATCTTCCCACCTCGGCCTCCCTAGTAGCTGGGACTACAGGCACGTGCCACCACATCTGACTAATTTTTGTATTTTTTTGTTTTGTTTTGTAGAGACAGGGTTTTGCCATGTTGCCCAGGCTCATCTTGAACTCCTGGGCTCAAGAGATCCACCCACACTGGCCTCCCAAAGTGTTGGGGTTACAGACATGAGCCACTGCCCCGGCCTTTTCTTTTGTTTTATTTTTAAATAATGGAAAACTTCAGTTCTCAAACTAGAGAGCTCTTCCAGAGGACCTCTAGATCTAGATGTACTCAGCATGTTGTTACCATTCCAGGTGATGTTTTATATTCTCTGTATATGGTAGAAGACAGCCTGTGGACTTTAAGGCCAGATGGTAAATATTTTTGGCTTTGCAGGCCCTTGTGACTGCTGAACTCTGCCACTGTAGTACAAAAGCAGCCACAGACAATATGTAATTGTCAAATGAGCATGGCTGTGTTTCAAGAAAACTTACATTTACAAAAACAGGCAGTGAGTTTTTGTGCATTTAGGAGAGACTAAGAAAGTGAAAAGTGGGCCATGCGCAGTGGCTCACGCCTGTAATCCCAACACTTTGGGAGGCCGAGGTGGGCGGGTTACCTGAGGTCAGGCGTTTGAGATCAGCCTGGCCAACATGGTGAAACCCCGTCTCTACTAAAAATACAAAAATTAGCCAGGTGTGGTGGCACATGCCTGTAATTCCAGCTACTCCGGAGGCTGAGGCAGGAGAATTGTTTGAGCTCGGGAGGCAGAGGTTGCAGTGAGCCGAGATCGTGCCACTGTACTCCAGCCTGGGCGGCAGAGCGAGACTCTGTCTCAAAAAAATAAAAAAGAAAAAAAAGAAAAGAAAGTGAAGAATAGCTGGGCGCAGTGGCTCATTCCTGTAATCTTAGCACTTTGGGAGGCCAAGTTGGGCAATCACCTGAAGTCAGGAGTTCAAGACCAGCCTGGCCAACATGGTGAGACCCCCATCTCCACTAAAAATTCAGAAATTAGCCAGGTGTGGTGGCACCCGCCTATAATCCCAACTACTTGGGAGACTGAGGCATGAGAATCACTTGAACCCGGGAGATGGAGTTTGCAGTGAGCCAAAATTGTGCCACTGCACTCCAGCCTGGGTGACAAAGCAAGACTGTGTCTCAATAAATAAATACATAAATAAATAAAAATATAAAAATTAGCTGGGCATTGTGGCACACACCTGTAGTCCCAGCTACTCAGGAGGTCGAGGCAGGAGAATCACTTGAACCTGGGAGGCAGAGGTTGCAGTGAGCCAAGATCATGCCACTGCACTCCAGCCTGGGCGACAGAGCGAGACTCCGTCTCAAAAAAGAAAAAAGAAAGTGAAAAGACATTGCCAGAATGGGAGAAAATATCTGCAACTCACGTATCTTAGAAGGGATTTGTATCCAGAATATATAAATAAAATTCAACGATAAAAAGACAATTCAGGCAGGACGCAGTGGCTCACACCTGTATTCCCAGCACTTTGGGAGGCTGAGCTGGGCAGATCACAAGGTCAAGAGTTCAAGACCAGCCTGACCAACATGGTGAAACCCCGTCTCTACTAAAAATACAAAAATTAGCTGGGCGTGGTGGCACGCGGCTGTAATGCCACCTACTCAGGAGGTTGAGGCAGGAGAATCACTTGAACCCTGGAGGCAGAGGTTGCAGCAAGCTGAGATTGTACCATTGCACTCCAGCCTAGACAAGAGCGAAACTCCGTCTCAAAAAATGACAATAAAAATAAGCCAGTCACAAAACCCCATGTACTGTGTGATTCCATTTAAATAAAGCGTATAGAGGCCAGCCGCAGTGGCTCAAATTGTTGATTAATCTCGACACAGTAGCTCAAAATGCTGAGTAATCTCAGCACTTTGGCAAGCTGAGGTGGGAGGATTGCTTGAGCGCAGGAGATTGAGGCTGCAGTGAGCTGTGATCAAGCCACTGCACACTGCAGCCTGGACAACAAGAGTAAGACCCTGTCTCAGAAATTAAGTACAGAGTAGGTAAATCTATAGAGACAGTAGAACAGTGATAGGCAGGCCTGGGGTAATAGAACGGAGAATGACTAATGGGTAGTGGGATTTTTGGGGGTGGGTGGGTGATAAACTTCCGGATTAGATGCTAATAGTTGCACAGCCTTGGGAATATATTAAAAAACCACGGACATACACTTTAAGATGGTGTAAAAATTATATCTCAATTTAAAGAAAAACAGGCAATGGGCCAGATTTGGCCTGTGAGCCATACATAGTTTGCCAACCCTTGGTATAAAATGAAGGTGGAATTTCAAGAGCTTCAAGTCATAATGTATTTTATTTTATTTTGAGACAGACTCGTTCTATCCGAGGCTGGAGTGCAGTGGCGCGATCCCGGCTCACTGCAACCTCTGCCTTCCGGGGTTTAAGCGATTCTCCAGCCTCAACCTTCCGAGTAGCTGGGATTACGAGTGCCCACCACCATGCCCGGCTAATTTTTGTATTTTTAGTAGAGACGGGGTTTCACCATGTTGGCCAGGCTGGTTTCAAACTCCTGACCTCAAGTGATCCACCCGCCTCGGCCTCCCAAAGTGCTGGGATTATAGGCGTGAGCCATCACGCCCAGTCAAGTCATAGTTTATTAAGAGATTCACATCCCCTTGCCTGTTTGGTTTCTACCTAAATGAAGTCATCTTCCCTCTGAAGTTAAAATCAGTTTCCACAGATGTTTCTCTTCCACAAAACACTTCCTTACCTCTATTGCATCCAGAATATCGTTCAGTTGTTTTCTTTCCTTCTGTTTGTGATCAGTCTCAGGCCCCTCATAGAAGACTCCAAAGTTGAGGTACACTTGCACAGAACCGAAGTGATTATGCTGATTATTTAGACAAAGCTGATAAAAACCTGTAGGAATTCTTAGATCATTACCAAGTCTTTGGTCTCCTCCCCTTTGTTAAGGATTCTCTGGAGGTATCTGTCCTCTAGTTTTGGAATTCTACAGCACCTTCTTTTTACTTAGAAAGTACAAAGATCCCGTTTTTGACACGGAAGACATGGACCTTATGTTAAACTCGTACTAAATATTACTTATTGTATGGCCAAATTTTAGTAACTAGTCCTTTCCATACTGGATAGTGGCAAACAACATTTTCTCTTTTTCAACATGTAATTCCCACATCTTGTATTAAGGAACTCCTGCTCAACAGATTGAGTTAAGAGCATGGGTGTTTGCCTGGTCCTTTTATACCATTAGAGCTAGGGACACCATCTTGAAATTAGGAAAGAAAAAAATAATTGGATGCATAGTGCATGAAAGCAGCTCTCCTGGAGTGATTGCCTCTAAGACGTCTGTGCATTGACTCATGGTGTGGGATATCTGTTGGGGCTGGTGTTGCTTCCCTTTGTGTGTGCAGGGGGTGGAGAGGACCGGTGGAAGATGCGGTGAGGTGGGATTAGAAAGGTGTGGCAGTGTTTGAAAGTCAGAATGATTGGAAGGCACTACTGGCATGTAGGGGCCAAAGATGTTCAAGATCTTTTTTTTTTTTTTTTTTTTTTTGAAACAAGAGTCTCTCTCTGTCACCCAGGCTGGAGTGCAATGG